GGCTCTCCTTCCATCTCCGCGTCTGCCCCCCATTTGGGCGGGGGGCAGTCTCCGCGGTGCAATCGCCATCTCTTGGAGTCAAGACGCAGCGCGGGCCTGGGCGGCGGCAGCGCGCGCGCCTGAAAATCCCCCCACGCTTGGGCCTGGAAGCCGCTGGGGGCGCAGCATGGGGAATGGGGGCTCCTGGGCGGGGTGATTCCAACAACTTCTGCTTCTGTGGCAGACCCCGTGACTCCCCGCGGCCCTCACGACATGGTCGGTCGTATTTGTCGCGAGTGAGCTCGAGCACCATGGGCATTGATTTGTTGCCGCTAGGCTAGGGATCAGTGGAAGACGGTTGTGCGCCGCTCTCCGGTGCGCTGCAAGCGCTGCCGCCGTAGTGAATCGCGCCCCGCGCGCCTTTCCCTCTGCCCCCATCTCCCAGTCGCACCAATGCTGAGCGAACAGCTCTTCTCCCACTGATATTCCTGGTAACTTAGTATCCCAAGTGCGCCCTGCATGTCGCAGAATGCGGGGGTCTGTCCCTGTCCGTGCTTCCCAGGCCCTCGCGCCCTGGTGAAGCATTGAAATGTCTGACGCCTTTGCGGGTGCCAGCTTCCCACGTCCTCGCTGACCTCCGGCAGTGCCTGATAATCCTTGGCCACCTGCTTTGCGCATGGTGTAGACGCCCCGCATGCTCTCCCATTTTCCAGTCCTCTGGATGATTCGCCCATTGCCTATGCCATCGCAGCCTGCGGATCCCCGGCGCGGTTGCGCAGCGCGGTGTCCCCCGTCTTTCGAACGCATCCTTGGTGGCGTAGCACCTGGTCGTGCCGCCCTCCTGTGTCCAACTCACCCTACCTCCTGCCATTCTTCTCAGTAACATTGCCATAGTGCTGTCGAGCGCTCCGAGGTGGCGTTCCTCTAGCACGAGTGCCATCGGCCCGCCTAGACCCCCCGGTAGCACAACCTGGAACATCTCCTTCTTTACCTCGTCGGTGGTGTCCGGAGGCCAGAAGCAGCCACATTGTCTGTGAGCCATCTGCGTGGCCTCACATCCCCTCCTGAGCTCTCCCGCGTAGCCTTGATCTCCTGGCGGTGTGGGCCCAGTTCTCGCATCTCCCTCGTCGGCGTGCCTTTGAGCTTTCTCCCCCCCTTGCAGTCGTCGAGTGATCCCGTCTCGCCCTGGGCCTCGAAAGGGAACCAGATGGTTGGTTTTGGCGGGGTTCAGGCTCCATCCTCCCCCCGCCAGCATGCGCTCCAAGCGCTCCGTGGTCGCGTTTATCTGCTCCGCTATCCTTTTCGCCTGGGGCAGTGGCTCGCCCCCCCCCCCCCCCCTGTTGGTGCTTCCTGGCGAGCCGAGATATCCTCGCCGTCGCCAAAATCATACTGGTGCTCCGAGATTTCCTCGCTAACTCCAATCACCTGGCCCCGGGTGGGCCCGACAAAACCGCTGCGTGGATCTTGGTGGCGTCGCCCATGGGCGCGTTGAGCGGGAGATCGTGCACTTGGTCTGTACCAAGTCCATCATATCATGCGCTGTCTGCACCCCGCTGTAACGGCGTCGTGCCATTGCCCCACATAAAATCTGTAAATATCATTGAGATGCCGTTGGCACAGGGTGAATGCCATCTGCGCTCCCTGTGTAGTCCGCGCGTGTAACCAGTCGTCGGCGCATTCCATGCTCGTCGACGCGTGGCTGATCGCCTCGATGGCAAATGGCGCCCTCCCCCTTCGATGTCGCGAATGCCGATGCCGGCGGGGGGGGGGGGTGCGTTTCGTGTTCGCGAAGGCGTCGGTGCAGTCGCAGTTGCTGGCGATGGTGCTTGCCCCTGCTTGTCTCGCTCTCCGCTGCGTGGATTCGGCGCAGGCCATAGCGTTCTCCGTGGACTTATTTCGAAGCCTCCCCTGTGCCCAGCACGTGTGTTTTGGGGCTTTTCCTCTGACGCGTACCCCCTCGTGAAAAGCCACTCTCGCCGAGCAATTTGCATGCGTGACTCTTTTTGTCCCAGACCCTGTTTGCCATTGCCTCTTCGCAGAAAACAAAACCGATCTGTGCCAGTCCATTGGCGTAGCATGGGATTGAGCGGAAAGGAAGTCTGCGTGCCAGCTCCGGTAACCGGAGCGGCCCCCTAGAGGGCAGACCGTGCGCCGAGCACGTCGGAAAATGAATGTCGGCGACGAGCGCGCGCAGGAAAATGCGATTAATACTGCGCTCCGTACTCTCGCCTGCTTCCGTCGCTGCCGATCCCAATCGAGCTCTCTCGCAGCTCCCCAGGTGGTGCGATTTTTCCATTCGCCCGCAACGCTTCTCCGTCATCGGCTCTTTCCGCCCTGCCCGGCGCATTTCTGCTTTTCCACCCCATCTTCTGTAGGGTCCCCCTGCCAACCCTGTGCTTGTGGAGTGAGCTGTGCTTGTCAAAATCCTCCTCGTCCTCGCGTAGTTCCGCTGCTCGTATCTTCTGCTCTTCCGGCTTCTCGCCCAACTGCTCGGGGTCCTTCAGGTTGGCCGTGGGGTCCAGAATCGCCCGCGTGAGTTCCGCTGGTGCACCCCGCGGGGGAAAGCCCTCCTCTTTGCCGCAGTTCTGCAATACTTCAGCAGGTCTCTTTTGTTCCTCTCCCCCTGGGCCCTCGGATCCCCATCCATTGGCAGCGGCGTCCTTTCTGCGATCATCTCGTCATGCTCCTTCTCGTGCCCGTCGCGGTCCATCGGCTCTTCTGCCCGCTCCCATCCGCCAGGGCGCTTCCCCGCTTCTCTTGGCTATTCCTCTGTGTCTCATCAAGTTCGCGCTGAGAAGTAGCATCTCTTCTTTGGTCATCTTCCATTCCCCTGGCATTATACCTTGGGCCTGTGCATCTCGCTGAAGTTGTTGTTATCGTGCGCCATCCATATCTCCTCTGCCGGCCAGCGTTTTCATTGCGGCTCCAAAGTCTGTCCTGTGTCTACGTGGCACATTTTGCATCTGCGCCAGCCCCTCCATGATTTCCAATCCCCCCTGCGTGTCTGACTCTACCATGTCCACTCTCAACTTCATCCTTTCTGCCAGAAGGGAATGCGTCAGTAGCTGGAAGGCTACTGCTCCCTTGACCTCCTGCTTTTTCTTGACTGGACATACTTCTTTCATCATTTTTCTTCCTGCGTCGCCCCGCTTCCTCCACGTCTGATCTGCTGCGTGTCGGGCCGGAAGCTCTCTCCATTCATCCTCTGCCAAGCGTTCGCCCTCCAAGGTTCGCGCTCCGAGATGGCCTCGCTGCTGTTTCTCCTGGGAGCTTGACAGAACCCTCCCGGATCGCACTCCGAAGTGGCCTCGCTAATGCTTCTCCTGGGAACTCGGCGGCAGAATCTGCCTGAATCGCACTCCGATATGACCTCGCCAATGCTCCTCCTGACAGCTGGAGCACAATAGCTTTCAAGTGGCGGTCAACAGTTCACAAGAACTCCGCTCTCACACGTCCTTTCCCCAGGCGCTCCATCGGCATATTGCGGTCCGCGTCTTTGCCTGCCCGTGGCTGTCTGTGCTTGCTCGAGAAATGAAATTGGCGTTCTAGTCCGATGTCGATGCCCCGGGGAACGTGGTCTCTACGTCCTCTCGCTGTAACTTTCTGCAGCTTTCTTGCCACTCCTCTCAATCCAGCGCACCTTCGCGCGCGTGGTAAAGCTCCCGTCGGTGCCGCCATGTGATCGATCTTGCTCGTCCGCATCCTGTCGTCTTTCGCGCAGTGGTAAGTTGGCCCACAACCGAAAAAAAGGTCGTGACTACTGACAAAAAAGCAGTGGACACAAAACTCCCTGAAAGCTGTGTCGCTGCCGCCTCCAACTCTTTAACCAATGATTCCAATGCCGCTGCATGTTTGCCCGAACTGTCTGCTTACCACCAAATCCCTGTTGTCCGCCCTGTGCATTCAGAATTGGCTGTTGATGTCCCCCCACTATGGTAATAGATCTGCCGCCCGTGTCGTCACACCTTTCTTCCACCCGCTTCATATTTTTGAGATCGTCCCATTGCCTGTGTATGCTTTCTCTGGTGGCAGATACGCAGCACATATTGTGACGTCGTACGCTCTTGTATGCTGTCTCACATCTGCTGCTTTTCCTGGCAGTTGCGCAGGCAGTGTCTACTGCGCGTGGAAAGCTTTGTCCTTCATCATCATGTTGGACACCAGGAGAGCCGCAACGCATGTCTTAGTAATCCGTGCCCCTTCTTTGCCCCACACTGCAGTGTTACATGATCTCCATGACTCGTCTTCTTCATCTGTTCTGGCCCTGCCCACGGATGCGTCCGTGTCAGCACTATCACACCCCACTCTCGTAGTGCACTGCTAATCTCTTCCAGTCTGTCCGTGGTATTCGCCGCCAACGGTCTGTAACATACCAGTTTCATCGATGTACATATCGAGAACAATGCGACCGCCAGTGGGGCGGTAGTCGTGTGAGAGAGTTGCAGGGAAATCCTCTCTCCGTTGGGTCTCAAAAGGCCTGATCCTCCAGCGCCGACTGGGAGGAGGAGGAGGAGGAGGAGGAGGAGGAGGAGGAGGAGGAGAGGAGGAGGAGGAGGAGGAGGAGGAGGAGGAGGAGGAGGAGGAGGAGGAGGAGGAGGGGGAGGAGAAGGGGTGCGAGGAGAAGGACGAGGAGAGCGACGGTGCTCCCAGCGTTTCGCGCCATGTTGGAGGTCCTGGGGCTCTCTTGGCCTCGCGAAAGGGTGCTCTGGAGGCTACCTCGGCCTCCAGCGAGATACCCGGGGACACCTGGAGGCAGATACATTGGGCAGCTAGAGGCCTCCTAGATGGTGTCCGAATAGATGGGGTCGGAGGATCGCGCCGCATCGCCAGTGCATCGCCGATGCGTCCACGATGCATCGGCGATGCATCGGCGAGGTCGGCGATGCATCTGCGCCGTCGGCATGGAGAAAATTGGGCCCCACATCGAGCCGCACCGCCGATGCATCGGCGATGCGGCGCGATCCTCCGACCCCATCTGCTCCGACCCCATCCAGGAAGCCTAGAGTCGGGCAACGCCCGGCCTTGCGCCAGCCGTGGACCACGTCCCCGCAGAACTCGTGGCGCAGGAAGTTCTCGAAGGCGGCGAACGCCCTCGCCTGAGCGGGGTCGAGACGGGGGGGGGCCAGACGATCGACCACGCCAGTACCTCGGATGTCGGACGTCTATCGCGGTTTAATCAAAGTCGACGAGCGAATCGAATACATCATTGTTTTGGCATTCTTCACCGAGCCGAAAAAAACGCTTCGTCTTTCTGGTAGATTCGACGAGAAGATCAATTTTGGGGTACGTCGATTCTGCAGTCCATCCCCCCCTACTCGAGAATCCAGAGTGGGGAACAATGCTTTCATCGGACGTCCACTTTGAAGGTTTTTGACCCTCGGGGGAGGCCTGGCTAAGGAGGGGGCCGTGACATGGAACCAACGTCGGGGATCTACTGACCCGGGTGAATCCAAACCCGTGCCAGTCAGGCCTTGCAAGTTCCTGCAATCTCCCGCAGGATCCTGCAGGATTCTGCACCCAAGCCTGGGTCGGTGCACCCCTGGCCCTCCAGGATCCTGCAAGATCCGACGCCCCGCCCTGACCGACCTCCGTCTGCCTTGGCCCCCGTCTCCTGGTCCCCGACGGCGACACGTCGTCGACGTACCGGCGGTGGGCCCGCGCCAGCGAAACCATGCCCCGATCGGTGGGGAATCGGCGGAGGTGCGGTTTAGATGCTGTCCCCCCCGGCAGGTCGGCGATGCCACCCCCCTGACAGCGAGAGCAGGCCCCGCCCGGCGAGGAATTGGCGATGGGGGCCTGATGCTTCAAGGGGCCCAAGGACACACACACACATAAATATACACAAAGAACAATATTCCCCATATTTTCCTATATTTTCTGGGTTTCTGTCTCCCCCCCCACTTCCCATATTTTCCCATATTTTCCTGGGGATCGTCGATTAATTGTGTCTGTGTGTTTTTTTCCCTCCTGAATGCTTCTTCCCTGGAGCCAACCCCGACCCCCAATCGGAGGAGGAAAAGGTGGCCTTACAGCTACCCTCGCCATCGCTCGGACGTCCATTCCCTGTGTTTTGTTCGGTTTCCTGCGTGGTTCTTTCCGCCAAATGATCAAGGATGCTCCTCGATTGTCCTGGCCGAAAGAAAAAATGCACACGTCCGAACGATGCCAAGCAATCGGAGGAGGAACAGGAAACCTTACAGCTACCCTTCGCCCGTCTCCCCCCTCGTGGCCCCCCTGGGAGGCCCTCGTCGCCGCACCTGGATTCGTCTCGAGACTCTGGTCAGAACGCATCCCAGGAGAGGCCTGGGGAGTAGCAGTATCGGTGCCTTTGGTTTCCCCGCCCAAATCGGCGTCCCAGGTCGCCCCCTGTTCCGCCAAGTTCTTCCCCGACCTGGTGTAGGCCCTGTTCTTCAGCGACGATCGGTCCTGAGTGATGTCGTGATGGGCCACCTCTAGAAGAAGAAAAGAAACGCACGAACGTGAAGTTTGGGAGCTCCGTGCAGATTTCTCAGATCTGCGCGGGATCCCCTCCCTCGCGCGCAGGGCCCGCCAGAGGCGCCGCAAGGGCAGTCCAGCGCAGACCCCCGAAATCCGCGCGGAGCTCCGAAAGTTTGTGTATGCATGTTTTTCGTAGCCGAACCTCCTCTTTCCACACGAACTCCAAGTCCATTATCTCGAAGAAGGGTTCCGTCCTGTGATCTGCCCGGCTGTCCAAGTAATCGAACACCCGCTCCCCTTTGGCCTCGTCGAAGCCAAGCTGCTCACAAGCCAATAGGAACTCCTGCAAGGAGCAGCGCCCCGACCCATCAGCATCGAGCAACTCCGACCACGCCTTGCTGCGGCTGTCGAAATAGATCTGCAGGACTTCGCGGAAGTCGTTGAGCAGCACCGTCGCCTCAGGGTTGAGCTCCTCGAGCGAAACGTACCCAGTGTCGTCCTGGTCCAGCGACAGCCACAGCGCCTTGAGGTTCCCCTGGAAGCCCAGCTCGCGGCACCTCATGCAGAATTCTGTGAACTGCAGCCTGTCGTCGCCGTCTGGGTCGAGGTACCTAGGGCAACACTCGTCGCACTCCGCGCTCCGCGAAACGCGATTATCTCCGCGCTTTCGCGCCCCTCCCCCCGGACAGGACGAGGGACTCGCGCCTCGCCTTGGAATCGCCCAGACCGCGTAGCGAGAACCGCGACTAAGTTCGCACCCTCGTGCTGGCCCTGCTATAGGAGCTCGACCACAAGGAAAACTTCCACAAGAAACCCAACCCTGGCACCCCAGGACGTCCGCGGATTTTTGGCGTGAGAACGCCACGCCTTCCACAGCAAAAACATCGGCACCCAAGAAACCCACGGCGCCCTGGAGGCCAGCAGGGTGTTTCGTGGCATGGGTTTCCACTGCACGGGTACAGCCGCCAGGCGTGCACGAGGTTGCCACAGAGCTTCTCCAGGTGGCCCCTGAACTTCTGCAGCATGGCGCCCGCCTGCTCGGCGTCCCTTGCCTGCCGCTCGAGGATCCTCTCCTTGGAGAGGGATCCCCGGGGACGCGCAAATGAACAGACACAAGCCAAGCGATTTCTCATGATGTTCCAGATTTGCTGGATGTCCGTCTTCCTCTCCGCTCCTTCTCCTCCTCCTCCTCATCATCCTCCTCCTCCTTTTCCTCCTTCTCCTCCTCCTCCTCTGCCTCTGCCTCCTCCTCCTCCTCCTTCTCTTCTTCCTCCTCCTCCTCCTCCTCCTCGTCCTCCTGGGCATCGGCGATTATGTGTGTGCCTGTGTCTATTTTGTCCCTCCTGGTCCTTGGCGGTGATCATGGTCTCCTTGCGCCGCCTCATGCCGATGAAGGTCATCTCGTCCATTGTGAGGTCCTTGCCGCCGCTCAGGTCCAGCCAGCGGAACATCTGCAGCGCGTTGCCCCGCCAGCCGACACGCGCGCAGCCGGCGACAAACTGATCCTGAAGGCACCTGCCAGAACCGTGGCAGTCGAAGACGCGCTCCCACACGTCCTCGAGCGTCCGGTAACTCTCCTCCAAGAAGTCGCGGAAGTCGTCCAGCCTCTGCCCCGCCTCCTGGTCCAGGTCGATGAGCTCGACGAAGCCTTTCCTCTGGAAGTCGAGCGCGTTCCAGAGCGTCTTCAGCTGGCCTCGGTAGCCCGCCAGCTTGCAGCCGGCGACGAACTCCTGGAAACGGAGGCGGCCGTCTCCGTCAAAGTCCAGGGATTTCCGCCAAGCGCGGACGACGCTGCCGAACTGGCTCACGAGGTAGGACGAGAAGTCGGCCAAAATCTTTTGTTCGACCTCCGTCTGCTTGGTTTTCCGCCTCTCCCGGTGGCTGACGGGCGTTCCCAGCAGCACGTTGTCGTGGCGCAGGTGGCTCCAGTTGTCCTCGCGGCGGGCGCGGTGCTTGGGCACCAGGGGCACGAGCTGCTGCAGGAACACGTCGCCGACTCTGCCAGCGTCCAGCAGGCGGAACAGCGCCGCCGAGCGGCCCTCCTCCCAGCCGACCTGCTGCATGCCCTCGACGAAGTCCGGCAGCGGGCACCTGCCGCAGCGCCGCGTGTCCAGGTGCCGCTCCCACAGCTCCTCCCGGCATGGGGGGTGGAGAAGCGGGCCCGAAGGGCAGCGGGACCCTGGCCCGCCCCCCAATGGAGGCCCGCCCCACCGGACAGGGTCCAACGTCAGCCCCCTGGGGGCTGAGGCGGTGCAGGGCGGTCTCTCGTCGGAGCCCCCTCCTTCCGCTGCGAGGCGTGGGTCTGCCCCTTGCAGGTAAGTCGGGCATGTCCTCCCACAGGCGGATGGAGGACGAACAACAAATTGTAGCAATTCTCGTTATAACTCGAAGCGTAACCAAACATAATCAACAAGCATGAAACATCGTCACCAAACTATTCTCTAGCATTCCTGAATCTTCCTCCTGTAGACAGACATGCCCGACTGAACCTTATAACCAGGCAAACCGCATAATAAGGATGCGCGGTGAGGATGAAAGGGCCTTGGAAGGCCATGCCGACAATTTGCGAGCGGGGCGCGGCCAGCGAAAGCGGCCAAGAGTGGGCCGACGGGGAAGGATGCAAGGGTAACCGTGGAAAGTCGCTCATCCTTACTACGCGGGTTGACTGTACCCCTTACGCGCAGCCCCCAGGGTCTGGATGGGGCGCTACGGGGCGGGTTCGAGCGTCCAGGATGGCCCAATACAGCCCCAAGATGGTCTCACGGAGACCAACATGGCCTCCAAGATCGCACAAGATATCCCAAGACGGCTCCAGATGGCGTCCAAGATGCCCCCCGAAATGCTCCGAGACGGCGCCAAGTGGCTACGGAGCCTCCCAAGGACGCCCCCGACAAACCCAAATCCTTCGAACACCAATTAGACATCAATGAATTTGGCCATCTCGCCGTTTTGCGTTCAGTCGGCGCCTGAGGCCCGAAGAGGACTCCAAGATGGCCAAAGCGGGCCCCAAGACGGGCCCGGCCCAAGAGGGCTCCTAAACGGCTCCCAAAGCATCCAAGAACGCAACAGGAGCGCCCCAAGAGAGCTCCAAATGGACGATCTCTGAGGCTCCAGAGGGGCGGCGCGGCAAGCCCCACCCCTTTTTGGATCCACGCCCCCCAACACTGCCTCAAGGCGTCCGATCTTCCAAGAGGGCCCCCAGAGGGCCCAAGAGGACCCCAACGACCTCTAAATGTGCCCCGAGAGGACCACAACATGGCACAAGTGGGCCGCCTCGAGGCTCCCAAATCGAGAGGTCGGAGAAGGCATGCAGGGCTGACATCTGGGTCTGCTCAGGCTGATCCCGAACTTCGGATTGACGGCTGCCGCCTTCATTTCTACACTGGTTGATCCCGCACATCCCTGGTCAATGCAACCCGCCCGGCCATCGTTTCTGTCTGGGCTGGTGGGGGCACGCGAAACGCCAAGAGCTGCGCATTAGGGGCAACTGCTTGAAGCTCCCAGGGCCTGGGAGGGGCCCTGGGGTGGTGAAGACGAGGTGCAACCCACGGGCCCGCTACCGAGAATCCGACGCCATGATTCTTGAAGCCCCGACTCCTTCGCAAGGGGGGGGGCCTTCAAGTCCTGGATCTCTGCCCCCAGCTCCCGAAAACTGCCCACCAAGAAACCGAGGTTCCGAAACAACGCCGGGGCTGAAACGCCATGCCGTCAGAGATCTTGAACAGGGACCGACCGTCCCGGCATTCCTAGAGTCCTACTACGACATGTTCTTTAGACCCAGGAATGTTCTAGGAACAAAAACAATGTTCTCAGAACATAAACACACGGTGTTACAACAAAACTGTCCCAGCCAGAAATGTTCTAAGAAGATTTCGTGGAAACCGCAAAAGGTTCTCAGAACATTCTTTGGTAGGCCTGTAGAGGAGCCAGGGCGCTTCGCCACTGCTTGAAGATCTGGTCAGATTCTCGCTCTCGGGAACTCTCTGGAGCCACTCGCTCCACTCCTGCGTCGGTGCCGCGTCGAACGCTCATCGACTGGAGCCGAACGGGCGTCGAGCTAGACCTAAGGAGCCCTAAATAAGGAGCGCCAACTAAGGAACGAGGCCCCTTTTTCCCATGAGCTAAAAGTTCGATTTCCCATGGAAAACCAGAAAGAAAGCCCCAAGGCAAACGGTAAAACAATCAAGGTACACCGAGCCCTTCCCCAACGAAAAGGGTTCCTTCTTCAGCGCCCCGACTGTAGAGTCGACCTGGTGAACTGGAGTCGAACTAGAGCCGAACAGATCCGTCAGGTGGGCCCCAGGAAGGTCCCCCGAACATCAAAACTCTGGGCCTGCTTTACTCGGGCCGGGCGAAAGGGGGGGATAGCAAGAGGGGGGTTTGAGAATCAGCTCGCGCAGCTGATTTTCCCGGCGCCTCCCGGCGCCGGAGGCGGCTGTGTATCGAGGAATGGGCCCCTCGGTGGGGCCGCAACCAGCTGCATGCAACAAGTTTCGTAACCCCCCCTTTCCCAATCCTCCCCCTTTCGTCCGACCCGATTTACGGCGGCTCCTCCGGGCTGAGGCGGCGCACCCTCAGCAGCCCCCGGAACCTTGCCAGCACCTCCGCCGCCTCCGCGTCCAAGGCCTCCAGCCCGATGTGCCGGCCGTCCTCGCCGTGGTACTTGGGGGCGAGGCTCGACGGCTGGCTTCTCATGCTCATGGCTCGGGCGACGCCGGCTGGCCTCTCCGATCCTGGCCGGGCCGACTCTGGGCCCACGCCCTCCTGCTTTGGCCCGGGGAAGCGTGGCACTCGAGATCCGACGCCGCGGCATAATGCACCATCGCGAACAGAGACACGACCGAACCCGTCAGACCCCATCTCTCTGCGGCACATCTTGTCTGGCCGGATCGATCTGAGAGGGCCCAGCCCGAGACCATACAAAAGAAAGCCTGGTGTGAAAATGTCGCGAAGCCTCGATCTCAGCGCTTGGCCAGGGAGGCGCATACCCACAGATCCAGTGTCTTGTATTTTTTGATACGGGGTCCACGGAAGTCCCGACCCTTTCCCGAGGGCCCCTGAAGGCCAAACAAACACGGCGAAACACCTCTGTCCAAGTTTGACGAGTACGTTGGATGTCTGCAGATGTGCCGACCGTCCAAGGCTGAGCCCAGCCAGTGTCGGTGAGGTGATCGACTGGCGTCGCCCGGATGGTGCCGCTGAGGGCGGCAGTGCCTTGGTGGGCTTTGAAGCGGCAAGGAGTTGTTGTTCCACCGTTTTCGCAAAACTGCCTCTTGATCTTGACAACGGGAAAAGAAACGGTCCACCGAAACGGTAAAGAAACGATTCACCAAAACGGTCTGGGCAGCCTGGGGATCCGAAGGACGCTCGGAACCGGTTCGAAAACGGCTCGGACCCGATGAACAAAAACTGTGATCTGGACGAGGCTCACACCAGGAGAGACGCAAACAATAAAACACCGCCGCCAGAAATGTGCACTTGAGCACCAGCGAAAACAGTAAGCAAAAATGAAGCACGGCAGCGGAACCAAAAATAACTCCCTCATGGTTTTGCCAGACGGGCGTGTACACAGCATCTGGACCCACGAAGGGCCCAACCAGTTGGCAGCGGATATATATATATATATATATATATATATCGATTTCGTCGCCCGACTTTGGGGAATCCCCAGACCTCTCCCAGGATGTCTTCTGACCAAAATTTCGAAGCGAATCCAGCTGTGGCGACGAGGGCCCCGCAGGAGGCCCAAAAAGGCGAGAACGGGGCGAGTAGCGTTATTCACAGCTTTTCGTCATCCGAGACTACTCGTCATCGCTCGGACATCCCTTCTCCGTGCACTGTTCGGTTTCGTGCGTATTTTTTTTTGTAGTTATGATCGGAGATGTTCCTCGAGGGTCCTCGCCGAGAAGCAGAAGCGTTCGAGCGATGCCAAGACTGAGGGCGGTGCTGCTCGAGGCGGCGGCGGCGCCCGCGCCGGCGCCGCCGAGGAGCTCCCAGAGCCTGGTGTAGTTGCCGGCGAAGCCGAGCGAGCGGCCCGCTCGCACCTTGGGGCGTGCCGAGCCCAGGCCCCCGCGCGTCGCGGCAGGGTCCCGGAGGGAGGCGGGGGTACCGCCGAGCTGTATGAGCAGGGAAACCAGCCTTGAAGAAATCTGGGCCCCAATGCATCCGGCGCGACAGCTGCAGCAGAAAGACTGGGTCTGGGGCGTTGGTCGCGTTTTGTCGCGATGTTGCCATGTGTTCGCGACGTCGGATCTCAGGGGAAGCCGTCACAGAACGACTCAGGATGAAAAACTGGTTCTGGAAAAGGGGCCCAATCCTCAGGAGTCCCACGACGTATGGGAGTCATGACGTCAGGGGTCTGGGAACAGGGGTTGCAATGGGAGGGCGGCTATATACAACCCAAATATCCGACTATGTATATGTGTTCGAACGTCGAGGCATTATTTCTCGGTTTCGGGGCTCGGGGGTCCACCAAACATGGATCTGGCGCGAAAAGCTTTTCCCGGGTAGGGAGTCGGGATCTCAAGGGGTGACTTGACGTGGGCTTCTAGTGCGACGCCTATACATAACATAAGAGCACATCATTTAGTTAGCGTCGATGGCTATTCTGCATGTGCGCATACGCACACACACAAATATATATACATATATATATGAGAGAGAGAGAGAGAGAGAGAGAGAGAGAGAGAGAGAGAGAGAGAGAAAAAAAAGAGAGAGAGAGAGAGAGAGAGAAAAAAAAAGAGCGTGATCCACCGCCGCTTTACTGTGGAAAATTGCCGACCTTTTCCTCCGGAACCCGGGGGTCCCCCCCCCCGTCTCCGAAAATCCCCCCCCCCTGCTGGACCCCCCCCCCTTCCCCGGCAAAACCCCCCCATCCCCTAACCCCCCCTCCCCCCCCCCTCGAACTCGAAAACCGGGGGGGGTCACTACCGGTTCGAACCCCCCCCCCCTCGAAAACCGGAGGGGGGGGTCACTACCGGTTCGAACCACTGAGCTGTCCCACTGTTCCCACCACTGTCCCCACTGTCCCCACCACTGTCCCCACTGTACCTCTGTCCCATTGTCCCACCGCGTCCTCGCCACCGCCTTCACCACTGTCCCCACCACCACTGTACCCTCCACTGTCCTACTGTTTCCACCACAGTCCCACTGTCCCCACACCACTGTCCCCACCACCACCGCCCCCACCTCTGTCCCACTGTCCCCACTGTTCCCACCATTGTCCTCACCATTGTCCCCACCACTACCGTCCCCACCACTGTCTCACTGTCCCCACCACTGTCCCGCTGTCCCCGCACCAATGTCCCCACCACCACCGTCCCCACCACTGTCCGCATCCCCCTCGGTTTTCGAGGGTGGGGGGAGGGGGGGGGGGGGGTTCCCCCCCCTTTTCATGATGAACTGGGGGGGGGGAGGGGTTCGAACCGGCAGTGGCCCCCACCAGTTTTCCGGAGGGGGGGGGGGAGGGGTTCGAACCTGTAGTAACACCCCCCGGCTTTCCGCCAGCAGCGGTAGAACACGCTCTTTCACATACACATATATATATACATATGTATATATGTACATATGTATAGATAGATGTAGTATAACCATGCGCGCTTAGGTTCTAGTCGCAGATGAGCCACAGGTGCCGCGGTAAGTCCCGCTGTGGCCACGACGGCAATTTCCAGCGTTCTCGGGCCCATGCCATCGACGCAAAGAAACGCGTAGTCAGAACGCGGGGCGCCACGTTCCCGCGCATCTCACACTCTCGCCGCCGCCTTTGTTTGGTTCATCGAACTGCCTTTTTTCTCCACTTTCACTTCCGCTCTGCCCCGTCGTGACATTCAATGCTTTTGCACATGTGTTCGGTGTCTCCCCACGCCCGACCATGCAGACATCCGCTGGCTCCTGATGTTGGGGTTGGCTCGGGGCCTCGCTGCGCGCGCGTGGGAGCGCGTTGTTTTTTGTTCCTCTTCCTTGTGTTCCAAGATTCTCCTTGTCAGCGGTCGTTGAGCTGTCGGGTATCTGCAGAAGACGCGCGCAGATGTCCCGGTCATCAGTGCCCTTGTCTGCAATCAGTTGTTGTCGAGTCCGTCCATGGGAGTGGGGAAGCTTCTTTGTGCTGGACGCCAAACCTCATGCCAGCGATAATCGCACCCGTGGGAGCACAAGGTTCGGGCTCACGGGGGTGCGCAATGATTTGCCTGGCAACTCCCATGTATGGTGCTGCCTGGAGCTCAGACGGGGCCTCTGGCGGTAACTTCTTGGCGTTCTGGCGAAGCCTTACAAAAAGGTGAGGGATGGGCACGAAGCCTGATACAATGTATAGTATACCTACCCACGCCCCGCTCGCTCGGGCGGGTCCGCCCTGCAAGGGTGGGGGGTGCAACGATCGCGTGAAATAGTATGGTGTAGGGGTGCCCTGCTCTCTCTGGCGGGGGTTTCCCTGGCGCTCTGGCGCGGCTGGCCCAGGAGGAGAGGTAGGAGCACGAAATCAAAAGGAAACTTATGGTATAGCCACACCCCGCGCGCTCTGACAGGGCTACCTCGGGTGCGGTGGGAAAAACAACATCGAACAGGGACTGTATATGGTACAGCAACGCCCCTCTCGCTCTGTGGGGCCGCCCTTGAGGGGTGGGAGGGGCAACGCAACTTGTGAACTGATAGGGTATAGCGATGCCCTGTTCGCTCTGGCGGGGCCTGTCTGGCGCTTTGGCGGGGCCGGTAGGGAGGAGCACGAAAGCTGAGGGGTGAGGGGAGGGAGGGGGCGGGAGGGAAGGAGGGACGGGGGGGGAGTCCCAAGCTATCTGGGCCGTCTTGGAGCGCCTTGGGGCCTCCCGCTCCCACTCTGTGGCCCAGATTGGACCTGTCATGGGGCTCTCTTGGGTCGTCTTGGGCTCCTCCTGTGCAATTTTCGGGCTCCCTGGGGCCGTCTTGGGGCTCTTTTGGGCGCCTCTTCGGCGGTTTTGGGGCGGTTTCGGGGGCGTCTTCTGCCGTCTTCGAGCATTGGACGCTCGAGAGCGCGAGAAAACGAAAAACATCAGTTTTCCGTCTTGAGCTCCTCTTGGGCCACGTCGGGATCATCTGGGCCGTCCTGGGGCTCCTTGGGGCCTCCCGCTCCCGCTCTGGGGCCCTTCTTGTGCCTCTCCTAAGATTTTCTTGGGCAGTCTTGGGCAGCTTTCGGGCAGTCTTCAGGCTTTCCTGGGCCGTCATGGGGCTCGTCTTGGGGCCTCTTCAACGGTCTTGGGGGCGATCTTCGGGGCGTCTTCGGCCGTCTTGGAGCGTAGGAAGCTCGAGAACGCGAGAAAAGGACAAACAGATGGACAAACTTCAGGACATCAAAAATATGGGCCTCTTCGGGCTCTCTCGGGACGCCTCTCAGAGCTCTCTTGGGCCCTCTTGGAGGGCTCTTGGGCTGTGTATTGGCCGTGTTGGGCCCATCTGGGGCTACGTTGGGGCCGTCTGGGCCGTCTTGGAGCGCCTTGGGGCCTCCCGCTCCCGCTCTGTGGCCCAGCTTGGGCTTGTTCTGGGGCTCTCTTGGGCCGTCTGAGGCTCCTCCTGGGCAATTTTCGGACTCCCTGGGGCTGTTGGGGTCCTCTTCGGCGGTCTTGGGGCGGTCTTGGGGCGTCGTCGGCCGTCGTAGAGCGTCGAAGCTCGAAAGCGCGAGACACCGAACAACATAACAAAACAACAATGGAAATCAAGGATTTGGGACTCTTTGGGCTCTCTCGGGACGTCTCTCGAAACTCTCTTGAGGCCTCTTGGAAGGCTTGCGGTCTGGAGCCCATCTTGGGCCACGTTGGGGCTATCTGGGCTGTCTTGGAGGGGCTGGTCGAAGTCCCCTGGGGGCTTCTGGGAGCGTCTTGGAACTCTCTGGCACAGTCTGGGGGCGGCCGCTGGTAGGACTGAAAAACGAATATCCAAGAAATCTACGTTGTCCCATCGGAAATTCAAGATTTTTGCCCTTGGAGGGCCTTCTCGGCGGCCCATTGGACCGTCTTGGGGGGGTCATTTTGGACCTTTTGTGGCCCGTCTGGGGGCCCATTTCGGCTGTCCCAAGCCCCTCTTGGCATGTCATGGGTAGCTGAGCCGTCTTGGGGCCCTCATGGAGCCCTCTCCAACCATGTAGGGATCCTCTGGTGGCTCCCTCGGGCCCCCTGGGGACTCTCTCGGGCTGTTTTGGAGCTCTCTTGTGCTGCTCGACGCTCTCTTGAAGCTGTCTTGGAGCCCTCTTGGACCGTGTGGCGCCAGTTTGGGGAGCCTTTGGGGGCGACGTGGCCGCCGATGGAACATAAGAAGCGCATATCATAGAAATGTACATTTTTCCATAGGGGGAATGCTCGTTTTTTGTACCCAGGAGCCTTCTCAACGGCCTCCTGGACTGGCCTTTTTTGGGCCCTCCGGGAGCCCAGTTCGGCCGTGCCGGGTCCCTCTTCGGCCGCCATGGGGACCTGAGCCCGTCTTGGGGCCCTCTGGGGGCCCTCTCCGACCATGTAGGAATCCTCTGGTGGCCCCCTCGGGCTTCCTGGGGGCTCTCTTGGCCCGTGTTGGGGCTCTCTTGTGCTGCTTGAAGCTCTCTTCAGGCCGTCTGGGGGCACTCTTGGGGGCCTCTTGGGCCGTCTGGAGCTCATTTTGGAAGCCTCTGGGGCCGTCGCGGCCGCTGGTAGAGCAAAAAAGCAAATATCCAAGATATATACGTTTTCCCATAGGGCATGCGAAATGTTTGCCCTTGGAGGGCCTTCTCGGCGGCCTCTTGGACAGTCTTGACTGCCGTTGCGGCCGTCTAAGAGCAGCCTCGAGCGCTCGTGGCCCGTCCAGAAGCCATCTCAGTGCGCTCTTCAGCCACCTTCCAGACAACCTGGGGCGCCTCTTGGGCCAGCTTGGGAGCGTCTGGGGGGGTTCAGGGCCCCTTCTGAACACTCTTGGGGCCCCCCCGGCTCCCCTGCCCCCCATGCGAACCAGAGGCAGCAGTTCTGGGCTCTCCCCCGACCTACTCCGATATATATATATATATATATATATATATATATATATATATATATATAATATATAGTATAGAAAT